TGTGTTGGTGCACGTGTGTGTACGTGTGCGTGTGTGTGTGCGTGTGCGCACGTACCGCGTCGACGCGGCGCTCCCAGTCGGCGGCGCGGTCGCCGAGCAGCGCGGCGGCGTGGCGTGTGTTGGTGCACGTGTGTGTACGTGTGCGTGTGTGTGTGCGTGTGCGCACGTACCGCGTCGACGCGGCGCTCCCAGTCGGCGGCGCGGTCGCCGAGCAGCGCGGCGGCGTGGCGTGTGTTGGTGCACGTGTGTGTACGTGTGCGTGTGTGTGTGCGTGTGCGCACGTACCGCGTCGACGCGGCGCTCCCAGTCGGCGGCGCGGTCGCCGAGCAGCGCGGCGGCGTGGCGTGTGTTGGTGCACGTGTGTGTACGTGTGCGTGTGTGTGTGCGTGTGCGCACGTACCGCGTCGACGCGGCGCTCCCAGTCGGCGGCGCGGTCGCCGAGCAGCGCGGCGGCGTGGCGTGTGTTGGTGCACGTGTGTGTACGTGTGCGTGTGTGTGTGCGTGTGCGCACGTACCGCGTCGACGCGGCGCTCCCAGTCGGCGGCGCGGTCGCCGAGCAGCGCGGCGGCGTGGCGTGTGTTGGTGCACGTGTGTGTACGTGTGCGTGTGTGTGTGCGTGTGCGCACGTACCGCGTCGACGCGGCGCTCCCAGTCGGCGGCGCGGTCGCCGAGCAGCGCGGCGGCGTGGCGTGTGTTGGTGCACGTGTGTGTACGTGTGCGTGTGTGTGTGCGTGTGCGCACGTACCGCGTCGACGCGGCGCTCCCAGTCGGCGGCGCGGTCGCCGAGCAGCGCGGCGGCGTGGCGTGTGTTGGTGCACGTGTGTGTACGTGTGCGTGTGTGTGTGCGTGTGCGCACGTACCGCGTCGACGCGGCGCTCCCAGTCGGCGGCGCGGTCGCCGAGCAGCGCGGCGGCGTGGCGTGTGTTGGTGCACGTGTGTGTACGTGTGCGTGTGTGTGTGCGTGTGCGCACGTACCGCGTCGACGCGGCGCTCCCAGTCGGCGGCGCGGTCGCCGAGCAGCGCGGCGGCGTGGCGTGTGTTGGTGCACGTGTGTGTACGTGTGCGTGTGTGTGTGCGTGTGCGCACGTACCGCGTCGACGCGGCGCTCCCAGTCGGCGGCGCGGTCGCCGAGCAGCGCGGCGGCGTGGCGTGTGTTGGTGCACGTGTGTGTACGTGTGCGTGTGTGTGTGCGTGTGCGCACGTACCGCGTCGACGCGGCGCTCCCAGTCGGCGGCGCGGTCGCCGAGCAGCGCGGCGGCGTGGCGTGTGTTGGTGCACGTGTGTGTACGTGTGCGTGTGTGTGTGCGTGTGCGCACGTACCGCGTCGACGCGGCGCTCCCAGTCGGCGGCGCGGTCGCCGAGCAGCGCGGCGGCGTGGCGTGTGTTGGTGCACGTGTGTGTACGTGTGCGTGTGTGTGTGCGTGTGCGCACGTACCGCGTCGACGCGGCGCTCCCAGTCGGCGGCGCGGTCGCCGAGCAGCGCGGCGGCGTGGCGTGTGTTGGTGCACGTGTGTGTACGTGTGCGTGTGTGTGTGCGTGTGCGCACGTACCGCGTCGACGCGGCGCTCCCAGTCGGCGGCGCGGTCGCCGAGCAGCGCGGCGGCGTGGCGTGTGTTGGTGCACGTGTGTGTACGTGTGCGTGTGTGTGTGCGTGTGCGCACGTACCGCGTCGACGCGGCGCTCCCAGTCGGCGGCGCGGTCGCCGAGCAGCGCGGCGGCGTGGCGTGTGTTGGTGCACGTGTGTGTACGTGTGCGTGTGTGTGTGCGTGTGCGCACGTACCGCGTCGACGCGGCGCTCCCAGTCGGCGGCGCGGTCGCCGAGCAGCGCGGCGGCGTGGCGTGTGTTGGTGCACGTGTGTGTACGTGTGCGTGTGTGTGTGCGTGTGCGCACGTACCGCGTCGACGCGGCGCTCCCAGTCGGCGGCGCGGTCGCCGAGCAGCGCGGCGGCGTGGCGTGTGTTGGTGCACGTGTGTGTACGTGTGCGTGTGTGTGTGCGTGTGCGCACGTACCGCGTCGACGCGGCGCTCCCAGTCGGCGGCGCGGTCGCCGAGCAGCGCGGCGGCGTGGCGTGTGTTGGTGCACGTGTGTGTACGTGTGCGTGTGTGTGTGCGTGTGCGCACGTACCGCGTCGACGCGGCGCTCCCAGTCGGCGGCGCGGTCGCCGAGCAGCGCGGCGGCGTGGCGTGTGTTGGTGCACGTGTGTGTACGTGTGCGTGTGTGTGTGCGTGTGCGCACGTACCGCGTCGACGCGGCGCTCCCAGTCGGCGGCGCGGTCGCCGAGCAGCGCGGCGGCGTGGCGTGTGTTGGTGCACGTGTGTGTACGTGTGCGTGTGTGTGTGCGTGTGCGCACGTACCGCGTCGACGCGGCGCTCCCAGTCGGCGGCGCGGTCGCCGAGCAGCGCGGCGGCGTGGCGTGTGTTGGTGCACGTGTGTGTACGTGTGCGTGTGTGTGTGCGTGTGCGCACGTACCGCGTCGACGCGGCGCTCCCAGTCGGCGGCGCGGTCGCCGAGCAGCGCGGCGGCGTGGCGTGTGTTGGTGCACGTGTGTGTACGTGTGCGTGTGTGTGTGCGTGTGCGCACGTACCGCGTCGACGCGGCGCTCCCAGTCGGCGGCGCGGTCGCCGAGCAGCGCGGCGGCGTGGCGTGTGTTGGTGCACGTGTGTGTACGTGTGCGTGTGTGTGTGCGTGTGCGCACGTACCGCGTCGACGCGGCGCTCCCAGTCGGCGGCGCGGTCGCCGAGCAGCGCGGCGGCGTGGCGTGTGTTGGTGCACGTGTGTGTACGTGTGCGTGTGTGTGTGCGTGTGCGCACGTACCGCGTCGACGCGGCGCTCCCAGTCGGCGGCGCGGTCGCCGAGCAGCGCGGCGGCGTGGCGTGTGTTGGTGCACGTGTGTGTACGTGTGCGTGTGTGTGTGCGTGTGCGCACGTACCGCGTCGACGCGGCGCTCCCAGTCGGCGGCGCGGTCGCCGAGCAGCGCGGCGGCGTGGCGTGTGTTGGTGCACGTGTGTGTACGTGTGCGTGTGTGTGTGCGTGTGCGCACGTACCGCGTCGACGCGGCGCTCCCAGTCGGCGGCGCGGTCGCCGAGCAGCGCGGCGGCGTGGCGTGTGTTGGTGCACGTGTGTGTACGTGTGCGTGTGTGTGTGCGTGTGCGCACGTACCGCGTCGACGCGGCGCTCCCAGTCGGCGGCGCGGTCGCCGAGCAGCGCGGCGGCGTGGCGTGTGTTGGTGCACGTGTGTGTACGTGTGCGTGTGTGTGTGCGTGTGCGCACGTACCGCGTCGACGCGGCGCTCCCAGTCGGCGGCGCGGTCGCCGAGCAGCGCGGCGGCGTGGCGTGTGTTGGTGCACGTGTGTGTACGTGTGCGTGTGTGTGTGCGTGTGCGCACGTACCGCGTCGACGCGGCGCTCCCAGTCGGCGGCGCGGTCGCCGAGCAGCGCGGCGGCGTGGCGTGTGTTGGTGCACGTGTGTGTACGTGTGCGTGTGTGTGTGCGTGTGCGCACGTACCGCGTCGACGCGGCGCTCCCAGTCGGCGGCGCGGTCGCCGAGCAGCGCGGCGGCGTGGCGTGTGTTGGTGCACGTGTGTGTACGTGTGCGTGTGTGTGTGCGTGTGCGCACGTACCGCGTCGACGCGGCGCTCCCAGTCGGCGGCGCGGTCGCCGAGCAGCGCGGCGGCGTGGCGTGTGTTGGTGCACGTGTGTGTACGTGTGCGTGTGTGTGTGCGTGTGCGCACGTACCGCGTCGACGCGGCGCTCCCAGTCGGCGGCGCGGTCGCCGAGCAGCGCGGCGGCGTGGCGTGTGTTGGTGCACGTGTGTGTACGTGTGCGTGTGTGTGTGCGTGTGCGCACGTACCGCGTCGACGCGGCGCTCCCAGTCGGCGGCGCGGTCGCCGAGCAGCGCGGCGGCGTGGCGTGTGTTGGTGCACGTGTGTGTACGTGTGCGTGTGTGTGTGCGTGTGCGCACGTACCGCGTCGACGCGGCGCTCCCAGTCGGCGGCGCGGTCGCCGAGCAGCGCGGCGGCGTGGCGTGTGTTGGTGCACGTGTGTGTACGTGTGCGTGTGTGTGTGCGTGTGCGCACGTACCGCGTCGACGCGGCGCTCCCAGTCGGCGGCGCGGTCGCCGAGCAGCGCGGCGGCGTGGCGTGTGTTGGTGCACGTGTGTGTACGTGTGCGTGTGTGTGTGCGTGTGCGCACGTACCGCGTCGACGCGGCGCTCCCAGTCGGCGGCGCGGTCGCCGAGCAGCGCGGCGGCGTGGCGTGTGTTGGTGCACGTGTGTGTACGTGTGCGTGTGTGTGTGCGTGTGCGCACGTACCGCGTCGACGCGGCGCTCCCAGTCGGCGGCGCGGTCGCCGAGCAGCGCGGCGGCGTGGCGTGTGTTGGTGCACGTGTGTGTACGTGTGCGTGTGTGTGTGCGTGTGCGCACGTACCGCGTCGACGCGGCGCTCCCAGTCGGCGGCGCGGTCGCCGAGCAGCGCGGCGGCGTGGCGTGTGTTGGTGCACGTGTGTGTACGTGTGCGTGTGTGTGTGCGTGTGCGCACGTACCGCGTCGACGCGGCGCTCCCAGTCGGCGGCGCGGTCGCCGAGCAGCGCGGCGGCGTGGCGTGTGTTGGTGCACGTGTGTGTACGTGTGCGTGTGTGTGTGCGTGTGCGCACGTACCGCGTCGACGCGGCGCTCCCAGTCGGCGGCGCGGTCGCCGAGCAGCGCGGCGGCGTGGCGTGTGTTGGTGCACGTGTGTGTACGTGTGCGTGTGTGTGTGCGTGTGCGCACGTACCGCGTCGACGCGGCGCTCCCAGTCGGCGGCGCGGTCGCCGAGCAGCGCGGCGGCGTGGCGTGTGTTGGTGCACGTGTGTGTACGTGTGCGTGTGTGTGTGCGTGTGCGCACGTACCGCGTCGACGCGGCGCTCCCAGTCGGCGGCGCGGTCGCCGAGCAGCGCGGCGGCGTGGCGTGTGTTGGTGCACGTGTGTGTACGTGTGCGTGTGTGTGTGCGTGTGCGCACGTACCGCGTCGACGCGGCGCTCCCAGTCGGCGGCGCGGTCGCCGAGCAGCGCGGCGGCGTGGCGGCACAGGTCGTCGAGGCCGCGCGCGCCGTACACCGCGGCGGGCGCGCACGACGCGAACGCCGCCTCGAACGCCTCGCTCGACACCGCGCCTGCCTCGCCCAATCCGCCACCCACGCCCGACACTGGGGTTTCATTCAACCACTTTATAACCTTGTACTCACTTTCCAAAATTATACGTGGTAAAACCACGCTGCAGCGATATTATGCTCGTAGCACGAATATGTCGATTACACCGAGATAGGACCATGCTCTCACAGAATACCAGCGTGTGTTTAGTATAGTGAGTGTAGACAACCGGAGATCCTATTTATTGGAAACAAGACATTCCATCTTAGCCCACAGGAGTAACAACCCATCTGCTATTTTATTTTTAATCAAGAATAAAAATGGAAGTCTAATAGACCACAGCATCCACTTATTATCAGATGGACTATATTTCATTAAACCGCTTTTTTATGTGGTAAAGATATGCTACAGCTATATTAGTAGTATCGTTGGAGCACGAATGTGTCAGCTTGACCGGAAAAATCACGCTCACACAGAATATCAAAGTAAAATGTGTTTCGTATTGTGTGTAGAGAATCGGAGACCCTTTTTACTGGAAACGAGGCATTCCATCTTAGTCAACATATCTGCATTTTGATTCGCAATCGACGATAGATGTAGATGTCAATGGGCCACAACAACCACTTACCATCAGGTGGACTGTGTGGTCGTTTGTCATTGTTATTCAATAAAAACAACGAAGTACAGACTCACGAAAATGAGAAGAGGCCTGTGTTCGGCAATGGTATTGTTGCGCGCCACTATTAATGTCTTGTACATGGCAACACAAGTTACCATTAGCGCCCTCTAGTAACAGTATGTACGAATATATAAGTTTGAACTTAACTTTTTAAAACGTAGAACTGACTCTCGGAAATGAGAGAAGGTCTGTGCCTGGCAGTAATTTGATATAGGCTGTAAGTTTACATTTAAAAAAATAATAGCAGGCCTGTCTCACTCCGCGCTTTAGACATGAAAATATACCTACGCTACGCGGCCACTTATAAGAGATTAATTCGATGAAGTTGTCACTTGCGCGCTCGAACTCACGTGCGCCTTACGTTAACAGAAAAGTTTAGGCACTTTTGACATTTATTTTTGAGTTTTTATTCAAGTATGGCCACCCAAAAAGCCAAAAGGTACTGCATAGCATACGGAATCTTAAATAACAATAGGAAAGTCTACTTATCATTCTTTAGTGTTCCAAAGAATATCGAAGGGTTGTTAATTGTTGCCTAAGTACTTACAATAGGTACGTTTATTATTACTGTAATGAGAAAACTGACTGATTGACTGACATATCAATGCACAGCTGAAACCATTGAACAATAATATTCTTATAACAGCAATTACTAATACATTGCATAACACCTGGGTGTATTCTACTACCAACTTATATCAACAATTTGTTTTCTCACAACACCTAACCCTACAGTAGAAGCGGCCTTACTAGCACGCGGACGTAAGGTGCATTTTGTTTCAATACGCGCACCGCTAAATTTTTTTTCGACGATATAAACGGTAGGCTAATTTCACGAAGGTCATTTTTAAAGGCGGCTCTTCACGTTGGTCAACACACTGGCGAATGTGTTGGCCAACAACGATGGCCATCGTGTAGAGCGGGTGTTAAAGCTACGTTGGTACGTATTGGAACGATGGCCCACAAGTTTTTATTTTTTATTTTATTTTATTTATTAGGATCAACAAACAGTTTGCACAATATTTCTTAATCTAGAATACATTTACTACAAAAAATATAATATAATAGTGCAACCAACAACGTTGACCACCAATTACTATTAATAAAAGCTGAGATTGAGATTAGCGCATTTTTCATCTGATACAATGTTTGTGTCTTCAACTAATAAAATGATGAGAAGTAATTATTATTCTAATAACCAATTACACAAACTCATTCTCCTCTGAGCGATTTCCCGACACCCATGAAATGAAATGGAATTATGTATTAACTTTCCGTCTCATTTTATGCACAGTAATGTTATCTTTGTTGTTAATATTTAAAAAGCCGTCTACAATTAGCATATTTCACCTTGTGAACGCAATACAGAACGATTGGCAGTCACAATGCACAAAACAGTTTTTAAGTAGTCGAGTCACACTGCAGTTGATAAGATTGTGCTCGAATGTCGGAAGCTATAATACTTTATGACATCCGGGATGGAATGTGATTAGGCACTCTCTTACACCGCCACTACTATTAACGCCTATAAAAAACCACTGATAAACATGGGGCAATCTATGGAAGTCTCCTATAGATTGCCTCATAGGGAGGATTTTACTATAGTAACCCACGCTTGGCAGGCGCGTTATTTTGAGTTGTTGGCAGGAAGATTCTGTGCCCATCTTTTGCTGAAGTTTCCCTCTGTCGCTTCTTACGATACCTACTGCACGATTTGGAGTAGTGGATATTCTCACACAGTAACTACACGGTTAAGGCGAAACCGCGAAAAAATGCACCTCCTTTCATCGAATAGTATAGGAGTATGACTTGACTAACGAAACTGGAATTATGATAAACGTAAATTCATGTCTTTATCTTGAATTTGATTGTTCAAAAACACGATTGCAAAATTTTGAGTCGATCATAATTATTTGCGAAAACACCCCTGAAAAATCACTATAGTTGAAATTACAACGAAATTACTTAATCTATATGCTTGGAAACCACTCAAATACATTCATAACATCAATATTCGTAATTTACTTGCTCATTATTTTGATTACTAAAATCAATATTTTTTTTTAAATATTTTAGGATTCTAAGCGATTTCTAAGCAGTCTTTTTTTATAGGATAGTGTGACAAACGAGCACACAGTCCACCTGATGGTAAGTGGTTACTGTGACCTATAGGCAATCTACATCTATCCTCAATAAAGACTCAAGATGCAGATGCGTTGTCACCCGTGAGGACTAAGATGGAATGCCTCCTTGCCAGTAAAAAGGGTCTCCGGTTCTCTACACTCGCCATACGAAACACAGCAGCGTTAAGCTGCTATTTTATGCTGGTTTTCTGTGAGAGCGTGGTCCTTCCCCGGTCGAGCCGACCCATTCATGCTACAAATATACTACTAATATAGCTGCAGCATGGCTCTACCACGTAATTGTCTTAATTGTCACGGGCGCTACGCAATTTTAGACCTTATAACGGCGTTTTTGAAGTTTTTATAGAAATTATGGTTCACTCGGGTCAGTCCGGCGATAACCCGCTTCAACGGTTTTCGATGTGTCGCCTTAACGCCGCCACCATAGGGCGATTATAATATGATATAATACATTTTTCTAAGCTATATTAATATAGCAAAAAATATTTAAACACTATACTAACCTACTCCAGCACTAGGTAATTTTGCAGGCGGTGGGGGTTTCCTGTTGGCCGATGGCATGCTATACAAGCCTGCAACAGTCTTCTTTGGTGGTTCACACGCTGTAGTAAGTGTGATAGTGAGGCACGATTGTGGTGTTTATGACGAATGATTTGCATGTTTCATGATGAGTGTTGTTATAGGCATGGTATGTATGGAGAGAAAGCATTGTATCACCGAGCGGCCATTCCGTTTGTGCATCCAGGCGATTGTTATGATGATTGAAGATCCGGCACCGAGGTCCATGGTGGAAGAGAGAAGAAATTATAGTCAGTTAGCGGTTTAAAATTAACTACTAGATATTGAATTATTATTACAATATTAAAGATTGCTATAAATTTATATAGAAATAAATTACTATCAGCAAAGGTACCAGGATAACAATAAAAAAATCAAGATGTAATTGAAAAACCAGTAACCATTGTTTCGACTTTTCACTTTTATAGATATTAAAATTACATAAATTATAAAATATTATGTTAATCGCATATTAATGTAATTTTTAACGTATTTTTTAATTATAATATTCTATACCAAGTTTTATGTTTTTTTTTTTTATAATATTTATTTAAACACTAGGCATAAAAGCTTTATCATGTTAAAATAGTCATCTTTTGAAATTTACATACCAAAATCAAACTTCACTACTTTCAAACTAATATATAATATATATATTATAACCAGTGTAAAAAGTAACTGCATAAAGAATATACATCTTAGAACAATGTTAAAATAATGTAAATGGTCCTTTTTCTTTATTTGAGGTGAATGTATTAATTTGCAAAGGAAGAAATATAGTTGTTAATAATTTTAATTATGAAGTTGCATGGTATTTATGTTAAGGGATGTGTATAAGTATAACCTGTAATTTCTTCTTGCACGTGCTTTGATTTACTAAGCATGTGACGTGAACTCTCATATTAAATGTAGAAATAAATACACACTATGATATTCGCCATTTAGTAGCGAGAAATCTAATCGAAAGAAAATTTTATTAATAACTAATAGATACTTACAGACTGAGTTTTGTGTTTTAATCCCATATAAAAGTAATAGTTATAAAACTTATACATTATTACTCTTATCGCATTTTTGCTGGAAAAAATATGTCGCTAAGTAATGTGTTTATTACACTTATTTTCAATACATACACTAGATACAATACGCGGAACGTTAAGTTTGGACGCACAACGCAATTCAGTGTAAGCAGGAGAAATGATTGGCACGTACCTAACCTCAAGCATGTATGTGCACATACTTGGGAGCATTCGGAAACGTTCTCCTAAGTGAAAGCGTGCGAATACGTACACGTATCGTAATGGCGGACGTATACGTATACTTGCACGAATACTTGTACTGTGCACGTACATGGTAGCGTGCGTGTTCGTATGTCGGCACGTGCACGTGGCCGCGGTACGTACCGGGCGTGGAGGCGCCCGAGCTGTCGGCGTCGCGGCGCGCCGACGTGGGGATGCTCATGGTCTTCTTCACCGTGCGCCACACGAAGTCCGCCTCGTCCACGCCTTGGTTCGCTGCAACACCCACGTTCAATATATTCATTTTTATGTAATAACTAGCAACCAGCCCTGGCGAAGCCTGGATAGAATCTATTGTTTTAACGTTATTAAGATTTAAGATCAACAAAGACCATTTATTTTATCAATTTTTCTTTTTTTTTCTTTTTTGTCAAAATTTTCAAGCTTTTCGGATAAAATATAGCCTTCTGGCATTGTTCTCTATCTCTTTGTAAAGTTTCATCACAATCGTTACACCCATTTCCAATATTAGCGCTGACAGACGACGATAACCCCTGAGATTATTAAAAGCTAGTTATTTGAATATTATAGACAGACACTTTAATTTTACTTATATGTATAGATGAGTACAATTTTATGATTCAGTGAGCATGATCGTTATCAACGCTGAGAGTCACTAACCACTTAGAATAAAATACCTTTTTTTTTTAATAAAAGAAAAAAACTAAGGATCAAACAAGCTCGTTCAATAGGAAAATAATTACACTTTAAGATACCAACATACAATCAAAAAAATATAATTTTGTACATACTCAGTAATTTTAGTACTTTTCACTTAAAACGAAGAACAAATGTAAGAAAATTGCATCATGTTTATCTTACCAGTCGGTAACAAAAGTCCAGCCTCCCTTGCTTCGTCAAATTTCTGTTCGAGTAATGCCAGCTTCTGCGCCGGTAGAAGTTCCTTCTTTTTCAAATCTTGTCGTAGTCGTTCGCCTGCAAATGTTATAGGAATATAAGAAAATGGTGCCAACGATACTAAGTTCGCACTCAGAGAGAATCCCGCACGGAACAAGTATTTGTATGGCCTACAGATAATTGTTCCGGGTCTGGATGTTTGTCCTCGTGCAATTTATGTTTGTAAACTGGCTCCACGACACAGGAGAAAATCCTAGTGTGGGGGGTAACGTATTTAAAAAAAAAAAGAGACAGACAGTTTGAGTTTAAAGATTGTTTTTGACTACCAGTCTAAGACTGATTCCGAAGCACTATTTAACAAAGACAATCTATTTCGTTCACGAGTAACCGAATTTGTGATGACATTACGTGCATCTGGTCATTTAATGGCGCATTTTAAATTTGATATCATTTATTAGTGTTACCAATTCATATTCAATATTATTTTACCAACATAGACAGACAATCAGAGTACAATAAGGATACTGTTAGTCTTTGATATCTTTAGATTCTAAATGTACCTAATTCATAACTGTGCTGTGAACTATTAATTAAACCAGTAAATGAAAATAAAACGATAAGCTATCAAAGTGCAGAGCAAAACTTTTATGTTTGTTCTAATGATGGCCACAGATGATATTGTTATAGACTGTTCAGGATTTTTAATGAATAGTTTGAGAATGAAAACTTTCTTTATATTAATTTCGATTTTACGCATTCAAGAAAGAGATGACGTTTGAAGTCAAATCAGTGGACGGGTGTCAAGTAAGGAGCGAATCGTGTCTTTACTGACGAAATGTCAAATGAAAAGCAATACTTGTAGGTATCTGCGCACATTACGATACCTCCTAAGTATAATGAGTCAACTGACATTATAGTAATTTTATAGGAGAACGATTTGAAGGCAAATCGTTTATATTTTAATGAAATCAAACTAATTCGAAATATATTAAATGTTTTTTTTTTAATAAAGATTGCAAGCTCTTCCTTTGGTATAAAATGATTTTGCTGATTTTTGTTTTTAAATGACATTTTATGTACATAGCTGGGTATACGCCAGCGGGTCTCAATAGTAAAATGGTTTAACTACCAGTTATATTCATGTACGTTGTACATCAAAATCCATTGTTTACACTAAAATATCATAAATATGATTGTCATTTTATTAATACGAACTTACTTTTGATTTTTTTTCGGGATATTCTGTCTCATTTAATAATAAAACTTTGAAATTACATCACTTGACTCATTATACTAGGAAAGTACTAAGCTATGTTAACATTTGAAACTTCGACGTATACTGGACTAATATACTTCAACGAGGCTTTTTAATTACTCATTTTGTTTCTAATACTTTACGAAATGTGGGATTGATAAAGGCTAGGAAGAAGAAGAATCATAAACAAAAACAGCGCATTTTAAAAAATCACAATGTATTTTTCACTATAATTAAGTATGAACATGTTTTTTGGCCTTAGTAAAAGCTACAAGTTGAATAAATCAACAATAACAAATTATCAAAGTTGTATCATTAAAGTTTCATAAAAAACAACAAACAATCAATAAAAATAAAAACTAAAACAGGTACACTTCTCTAGGAGGTCAGTATAGATATTAACAACTAAAAATGGTAACTTACGTTAAACAATATTAATAAAGAGAATAGAAATGTATAACATAAATATCTAATAAAGTCTAGGCAATTGTAATACTCAAAAATAGCTATAAAGTTTAACAAAATAAATAAAAATATTAAAGGTTAAAAAATCAGTCTGAATCGCTGTCATCAGCTGCAATAGAATTAGTTGAAATCAAATTATTAAAAAATAAATGATACTCTTTAGGAATTACCAACGTTTTACAAAGATCCATCAAATCTTTGTGCTTATTTTGGTCTATAGGAATGGGTGTCTGATAAGCTAAAGAAATATTATCTATATCAATATTCAATTCTCTTCGATTTCGTGTAGCTTTAAGTTTCTTTACACAATCTATCCACTTGTAAGCATCGTCTTGGTAACTCGTTTTATAAAACACTCTAAATGGATTTTCTGCTTTAACTAGTACTTCCGTTACTTTATTCCAAGGCATTTTAGATCCATCATTAGTAGTTGTCCAGTTGTTTATAAGTTTTAGGTTTGATTTGAAGTCTTTTATTAAATCCTGAGACACTTCGATAACTTTGTATGGCTTTTCATCGGATTTGGCAAATCTAAAAGCTGTATACCATTGATCAGGCGTATAAAGTATTTTATCTTTCGTCTGTCTTTCAATTAAAGCGTGCATACTGTCGCCTTCATTTTGCATGTGACCCACTATTAGAAACCGATGCCTGATATCTATACTAAACTTCGAACTAGCTAACATATACATTAGGAACACAATTCTGTTTCTATTTTGGCCTCCACAGTTGTCTGACCAGAACCGGTAATCTTTGACTCCTTCACCCACCGTATCCTCTATAAACTTAAAAACACAGCTGGAAATTTCATTTGCACCTCTCTTTGCTGTCTGTTGATGCCATGAAAAACAATAACCTTGGTGAGATCCCAGATTGAATATCGTAAAATTATACAAGGAAAGTTTCCGTTTATAATAAAAAGTACTTACGTTCCCGTGAGGTACATTAAGGCACTTTTGAAGATCAAATTCTGCTGTAAGAATTTCATTATTTTGTAATGCTAATTCTTTATCTTTTGTTTTAATTTTTCTTGCTTTCTCTTTTTCTTTCAAATGCTCTTCATGCTTCTCTTTATCTGTCTGTGTAACATGCTTGTTATTTTCGTAAATGTGGCATTGTTCACAAACATCTTTTTTGGGTTTATGAAAACCTATATTGATATTTTTATTAATGATATCTCGGTATTGTCTCACGGTAGTCGCTTTAGAAGAGTATTTATTAGAATCAAACCATTCATTATATAACTTAAACATTTTTGGGAAGGATAAAGAGCTCTCAAGATATTTTCTACTCGATTTTTGGCGAGTGTAATGTGATTGTGCAGGAGAAAATGCTTCAACGTGGTCTATAACACTGCGAACCATATCTTCATTAATAATCTTTGGATGATTAATATGCCTTCCACGCTGATCTGCTTCAACAAATCCATTTCCTTTATCGGACTTTTCTAAAGCTGTGTAAACAAAATTAAAACTAATAGAAAGGGTTCTTAGAAACATAGTTTTGCAAACCGATATTTTTGTAGACTCAATATTATCTCCTTGACTGCTTGGAAGATAATAAGAAATAGTGTGAAGACGTTTTGAATTTTCTTTATCCACAGTAAATCTTTTTTTTTCAGATCTTACAGCATATCTTGCCAAAAAATCCCATTGTCTTGAGTGGTCTCCAATACTCCAAAACATATCAAAAATTCTTTGCCGAATATCTTCTGCTAATTTCTCACTGCATTTCTTCCGACAAGTTACGGGGCAAGAAGTTTTCATAGTTCTCTTACTATGTACTCTTCCGTTTCTACTGACATATTCCAAACCTCTATTAACATTATATTTTCTCTCCTGATCCTTCCATTTTTTATGAAAAAGTTCTCTTAGCCTTCCTTTATCTTTCTTAGCAATGGAAGTCCGCTTACGACGTTTGGCGTTATTGGACGGTGAGTATGTGATATCATTAATATCAGATGCAGGGGAGGCGACCGCAGGACTATCATTTAACTCTAAATTAACAGGTGATGGGGCAAAAGAATTATAAGGCGATGGTACTGGAGTAATATTATAATAATTTTCAGTAATGCTATTCTGGATGGGCGAATTCCCTGGAGTGTTTTCTATGACTGACGGCGATCGATCTCCTTTTTGAGTTCTACTATCACTAATCGGTACACAAGGCGAGGAGCAAGGAATATCATCCGGGAATAATATGGAAGCGTTAGAAGGGATATTTTGCAATACATCCTTGCTATCATTTAAATCAACATCATCAAGTATTGATAGCGCCTCCTCCGTAAAATTTGCATCAGGTGGCAGTGGAGACTCTAAAACAATGATAATTTAAATTAAAATACAAGAATTCATATTTTTGTATTAAACATGCCAATTACAATTAATAAAACATATAACAGATAAAAAAATATATCATAACACAATTAACACAAAAATATCAAAAATTGAATAAGTATATTATTATAAACATATGAGTCAAGTGTCTTCTTTATAAAATTTGTTCGCCGTATACTGTTGTAACAGCAGTTGTATGAGTATACGGCGTACTAAGCGACGTGAACAACAATTATCAAAGAAAAGCAACAAAATCACACTTATACACATAAAGGTAACTTACCATCTCTATCCCTGTTTTGCATTATATTATCATCGATTCTTGTGTTATTGTTTATTGTATCATTGGTATTATTCACATTGTCATTGAGTAAATTTAAAATTTTTCGCGCCCTGTTTGACTGCATTATGTTTCTTATATTAATTAAAAGAATAAAACAATATAAGACAAATACATCCACATTTACTTTATTCACTAATTTTACGAAACAAAAATATTAACTAAAATTGCGTGTGCACTCGCCGCCGTTCATCGAATACTAAGCCACAATAAACTTATATCAATGCGTCCCCCCTCACGCCCCGCGTACATTGGTACAATGTTATTTGGATCAGTATACAATGTACGATTTTAACTGATGTTGAAATTGATTTAGTATACGTAAAATTATCTCCGTAATTATCGTTCTTTTTTAACTTTTTTTAGCACTAACATTAAGATCATGGTTTATTATGTAAGTTTATATAAAAATAATGAAATACCTAAATTTGTTAGATGACTCAGTATACTTAGGAGGTATCGATTAGGGCGAGTATGTACTACTATGTTAAAACGTATATTTATTTAGATAGTTTATCGCAGTTGTTGGAAACTACAATCATCATCATCATCATTACAGCCCTTCACAAGTCCACTGCTGAACATAGGCCTCCCCCAAAGAATGCCACAAAACACGGTCCTGAGCCACCTGCATCCATCGACTTCCTGCATGTCTTACCAGGTCGTCACTCCATCTCGTGGGGGGACGCCCTACACTTCGCCTACCGGTACGAGGCTGCCACTCAAGAACCTTTCTTCCCCATCGGTTGTCGGTTCTTCGAGCTATATGGCCGGCCCACTGCCACTTCAGCTTACTAATCCGTTGGGCTATGTCGGTTACTCTGGTTCTACTGCGGATATCCTCATTCCTAAGTTTATCACGCAGAGAAACTCCGAGCATAGCCCTCTCCATAGCTCGCTGAGCGACCTTGAGCTTCCTCATACGGCCAGCAGTGAAGGACCACGTCTCAGTTCCGTAAGTCATCACTGGCAACACGCACTGGTTGTACAATTTCGTTTTAAGGTTTTGAGGTATGTCTGACGAGAAGATGTGTCGTAGCTTCCCGAACGCTGCCCAGCCGAGTTGAATCCGTCGATTGACCTCTCGGTCGAAGTTGGACTTACCCAGTCGGACTATTTGTCCCAGGTAAACATACTCGTCAACAACTTCGAGCTTAGTGTTCCCAACAACTATCGGCATAGGTGTGACATGGACATTAAACATGATCTTAGTTTTGTCCATGTTCATCTTAAGACCTATCCGTTGGGAAACACTATTGAGGTCATTGAGCATAGTGCTTAGGTCCTCCAGCGATTCTGCCATAAGGACTATATCGTCGGCAAATCGAAGGTGAGTGATGTACTCGCCATTGATGTTGATACCGTATCCTTTCCAGTCCAGAAGCTTGAAAACGTCTTCCAATGCAGATAACTAAAGAAACTACAATAATCATCGTTAATTGGAGGGAAAGTCGAGACATGTGTTCATCGGGGTCAGGGGGTTTGATGTTCTGTGAGAGGTGTGACAAGTGTTGTGTAGTGTTGTGCAGAGTTGTGGAATGTTGTGCAGAGTTGTTGAGTGCTGTGGAATGTTGTGCAGTGTTGTGGAGTGTTGTAGTGGAGTGTAGAGGAGTGTTGTAGTGTGGTGAGATATTTTTTGTGTGGAGTGTTCTGGAGTGTTATGGTGTTTTGTTGGGTGTTGTGGCGCGGTGTGGCTGCACGTACCGACGTGCCGGTAGACGTCGAGCAGCAGCTGCATCGCAGCGTCACGCACGGCGCTGCTGGGATCGCCCACTAGCGCAGCCAGGTTCGGTACCGCGCCGCGCAGTTGCAGCTCCGCAGCACCGTGCCTTCACACCGACACGTTTTTTTTATTTATTTTGATAATAAATAGAATTAGATGTGAAATTTAATAAGATCCGTGTAAAAAATAAAACAAATAACAATATTCTTTGAGAATTTTTTTTATAAAAGTTTTATAAAAAAAGATATTGTATGGCCCATAGACAACTGCATCGATCCCGAATTAAGTATCAACATGCAGATGGGTTGTCACCCCTGAGGTTTAGAATGAGTTTTGTCAACAGTAAATCATTATACGAAACATCATTATGCTGCTCTCGGCCAGCGCGACACGCACGCGTACGGTACGTACGGTACGGGGTAAGGCGGTGCACTCACGTGTGCAGCAGCGCGCCGATGCAGCGCAGCGCCTCCTCGCGCGTGTGCGCCGCCTTGTGCTGCAGCGCGGGCGTGAGGCGCGCCAGCAGCGTGCGCGGCGCCGCCGCCCGGCTCTCGGCCAGCGCGACACGCGCGCGTACGGTACGTACGGTACGGGGTAAGGCGGTGCACTCACGTGTGCAGCAGCGCGCCGATGCAGCGCAGCGCCTCCTCGCGCGTGTGCGCCGCCTTGTGCTGCAGCGCGGGCGTGAGGCGCGCCAGCAGCGTGCGCGGCGCCGCCGCCCGGCTCTCGGCCAGCGCGACACGCGCGCGTACGGTACGTACGGTACGGGGTAAGGCGGTGCACTCACGTGTGCAGCAGCGCGCCGATGCAGCGCAGCGCCTCCTCGCGCGTGTGCGCCGCCTTGTGCTGCAGCGCGGGCGTGAGGCGCGCCAGCAGCGTGCGCGGCGCCGCCGCCCGGCTCTCGGCCAGCGCGACACGCGCGCGTACGGTACGTACGGTACGGGGTAAGGCGGTGCACTCACGTGTGCAGCAGCGCGCCGATGCAGCGCAGCGCCTCCTCGCGCGTGTGCGCCGCCTTGTGCTGCAGCGCGGGCGTGAGGCGCGCCAGCAGCGTGCGCGGCGCCGCCGCCCGGCTCTCGGCCAGCGCGACACGCGCGCGTACGGTACGTACGGTACGGGGTAAGGCGGTGCACTCACGTGTGCAGCAGCGCGCCGATGCAGCGCAGCGCCTCCTCGCGCGTGTGCGCCGCCTTGTGCTGCAGCGCGGGCGTGAGGCGCGCCAGCAGCGTGCGCGGCGCCGCCGCCCGGTTCTCGCCCAGCGCGACACGCACGCGTACGGTACGGGGTAAGGCGGTGCACTCACGTGTGCAGCAGCGCGCCGATGCAGCGCAGCGCCTCCTCGCGCGTGTGCGCCGCCTTGTGCTGCAGCGCGGGCGTGAGGCGCGCCAGCAGCGTGCGCGGCGCCGCCGCCCGGCTCTCGGCCAGCGCGACACGCGCGCGTACGATACGTACGGTACGGGGTAAGGCGGTGCACTCACGTGTGCAGCAGCGCGCCGATGCAGCGCAGCGCCTCCTCGCGCGTGTGCGCCGCCTTGTGCTGCAGCGCGGGCGTGAGGCGCGCCAGCAGCGTGCGCGGCGCCGCCGCCCGGTTCTCGCCCAGCGCGACACGCACGCGTACGGTACGGGGTAAGGCGGTGCACTCACGTGTGCAGCAGCGCGCCGATGCAGCGCAGCGCCTCCTCGCGCGTGTGCGCCGCCTTGTGCTGCAGCGCGGGCGTGAGGCGCGCCAGCAGCGTGCGCGGCGCCGCCGCCCGGCTCTCGGCCAGCGCGACACGCGCGCGTACGATACGTACGGTACGGGGTAAGGCGGTGCACTCACGTGTGCAGCAGCGCGCCGATGCAGCGCAGCGCCTCCTCGCGCGTGTGCGCCGCCTTGTGCTGCAGCGCGGGCGTGAGGCGCGCCAGCAGCGTGCGCGGCGCCGCCGCCCGGCTCTCGGCCAGCGCGACACGCGCGCGTACGGTACGTACGGTACGGGGTAAGGCGGTGCACTCACGTGTGCAGCAGCGCGCCGATGCAGCGCAGCGCCTCCTCGCGCGTGTGCGCCGCCTTGTGCTGCAGCGCGGGCGTGAGGCGCGCCAGCAGCGTGCGCGGCGCCGCCGCCCGGCTCTCGGCCAGCGCGACACGCGCGCGTACGGTACGTACGGTACGGGGTAAGGCGGTGCACTCACGTGTGCAGCAGCGCGCCGATGCAGCGCAGCGCCTCCTCGCGCGTGTGCGCCGCCTTGTGCTGCAGCGCGGGCGTGAGGCGCGCCAGCAGCGTGCGCGGCGCCGCCGCCCGGCTCTCGGCCAGCGCGACACGCGCGCGTACGGTACGTACGGTACGGGGTAAGGCGGTGCACTCACGTGTGCAGCAGCGCGCCGATGCAGCGCAGCGCCTCCTCGCGCGTGTGCGCCGCCTTGTGCTGCAGCGCGGGCGTGAGGCGCGCCAGCAGCGTGCGCGGCGCCGCCGCCCGGCTCTCGGCCAGCGCGACACGCGCGCGTACGGTACGTACGGTACGGGGTAAGGCGGTGCACTCACGTGTGCAGCAGCGCGCCGATGCAGCGCAGCGCCTCCTCGCGCGTGTGCGCCGCCTTGTGCTGCAGCGCGGGCGTGAGGCGCGCCAGCAGCGTGCGCGGCGCCGCCGCCCGGCTCTCGGCCAGCGCGACACGCGCGCGTACGGTACGTACGGTACGGGGTAAGGCGGTGCACTCACGTGTGCAGCAGCGCGCCGATGCAGCGCAGCGCCTCCTCGCGCGTGTGCGCCGCCTTGTGCTGCAGCGCGGGCGTGAGGCGCGCCAGCAGCGTGCGCGGCGCCGCCGCCCGGCTCTCGGCCAGCGCGACACGCGCGCGTACGGTACGTACGGTACGGGGTAAGGCGGTGCACTCACGTGTGCAGCAGCGCGCCGATGCAGCGCAGCGCCTCCTCGCGCGTGTGCGCCGCCTTGTGCTGCAGCGCGGGCGTGAGGCGCGCCAGCAGCGTGCGCGGCGCCGCCGCCCGGCTCTCGCCCAGCGCGACACGCGCGCGTACGGTACGTACGGTACGGGGTAAGGCGGTGCACTCACGTGTGCAGCAGCGCGCCGATGCAGCGCAGCGCCTCCTCGCGCGTGTGCGCCGCCTTGTGCTGCAGCGCGGGCGTGAGGCGCGCCAGCAGCGTGCGCGGCGCCGCCGCCCGGCTCTCGGCCAGCGCGACACGCGCGCGTACGGTACGTACGGTACGGGGTAAGGCGGTGCACTCACGTGTGCAGCAGCGCGCCGATGCAGCGCAGCGCCTCCTCGCGCGTGTGCGCCGCCTTGTGCTGCAGCGCGGGCGTGAGGCGCGCCAGCAGCGTGCGCGGCGCCGCCGCCCGGCTCTCGGCCAGCGCGACACGCGCGCGTACGGTACGTACGGTACGGGGTAAGGCGGTGCACTCACGTGTGCAGCAGCGCGCCGATGCAGCGCAGCGCCTCCTCGCGCGTGTGCGCCGCCTTGTGCTGCAGCGCGGGCGTGAGGCGCGCCAGCAGCGTGCGCGGCGCCGCCGCCCGGCTCTCGGCCAGCGCGACACGCGCGCGTACGGTACGTACGGTACGGGGTAAGGCGGTGCACTCACGTGTGCAGCAGCGCGCCGATGCAGCGCAGCGCCTCCTCGCGCGTGTGCGCCGCCTTGTGCTGCAGCGCGGGCGTGAGGCGCGCCAGCAGCGTGCGCGGCGCCGCCGCCCGGCTCTCGGCCAGCGCGACACGCGCGCGTACGGTACGTACGGTACGGGGTAAGGCGGTGCACTCACGTGTGCAGCAGCGCGCCGATGCAGCGCAGCGCCTCCTCGCGCGTGTGCGCCGCCTTGTGCTGCAGCGCGGGCGTGAGGCGCGCCAGCAGCGTGCGCGGCGCCGCCGCCCGGCTCTCGGCCAGCGCGACACGCGCGCGTACGGTACGTACGGTACGGGGTAAGGCGGTGCACTCACGTGTGCAGCAGCGCGCCGATGCAGCGCAGCGCCTCCTCGCGCGTGTGCGCCGCCTTGTGCTGCAGCGCGGGCGTGAGGCGCGCCAGCAGCGTGCGCGGCGCCGCCGCCCGGCTCTCGGCCAGCGCGACACGCGCGCGTACGGTACGTACGGTACGGGGTAAGGCGGTGCACTCACGTGTGCAGCAGCGCGCCGATGCAGCGCAGCGCCTCCTCGCGCGTGTGCGCCGCCTTGTGCTGCAGCGCGGGCGTGAGGCGCGCCAGCAGCGTGCGCGGCGCCGCCGCCCGGCTCTCGGCCAGCGCGACACGCGCGCGTACGGTACGTACGGTACGGGGTAAGGCGGTGCACTCACGTGTGCAGCAGCGCGCCGATGCAGCGCAGCGCCTCCTCGCGCGTGTGCGCCGCCTTGTGCTGCAGCGCGGGCGTGAGGCGCGCCAGCAGCGTGCGCGGCGCCGCCGCCCGGTTCTCGCCCAGCGCGACACGCACGCGTACGGTACGGGGTAAGGCGGTGCACTCACGTGTGCAGCAGCGCGCCGATGCAGCGCAGCGCCTCCTCGCGCGTGTGCGCCGCCTTGTGCTGCAGCGCGGGCGTGAGGCGCGCCAGCAGCGTGCGCGGCGCCGCCGCCCGGCTCTCGGCCAGCGCGACACGCGCGCGTACGATACGTACGGTACGGGGTAAGGCGGTGCACTCACGTGTGCAGCAGCGCGCCGATGCAGCGCAGCGCCTCCTCGCGCGTGTGCGCCGCCTTGTGCTGCAGCGCGGGCGTGAGGCGCGCCAGCAGCGTGCGCGGCGCCGCCGCCCGGTTCTCGCCCAGCGCGACACGCACGCGTACGGTACGGGGTAAGGCGGTGCACTCACGTGTGCAGCAGCGCGCCGATGCAGCGCAGCGCCTCCTCGCGCGTGTGCGCCGCCTTGTGCTGCAGCGCGGGCGTGAGGCGCGCCAGCAGCGTGCGCGGCGCCGCCGCCCGGCTCTCGGCCAGCGCGACACGCGCGCGTACGATACGTACGGTACGGGGTAAGGCGGTGCACTCACGTGTGCAGCAGCGCGCCGATGCAGCGCAGCGCCTCCTCGCGCGTGTGCGCCGCCTTGTGCTGCAGCGCGGGCGTGAGGCGCGCCAGCAGCGTGCGCGGCGCCGCCGCCCGGCTCTCGGCCAGCGCGACACGCGCGCGTACGGTACGTACGGTACGGGGTAAGGCGGTGCACTCACGTGTGCAGCAGCGCGCCGATGCAGCGCAGCGCCTCCTCGCGCGTGTGCGCCGCCTTGTGCTGCAGCGCGGGCGTGAGGCGCGCCAGCAGCGTGCGCGGCGCCGCCGCCCGGCTCTCGGCCAGCGCGACACGCGCGCGTACGGTACGTACGGTACGGGGTAAGGCGGTGCACTCACGTGTGCAGCAGCGCGCCGATGCAGCGCAGCGCCTCCTCGCGCGTGTGCGCCGCCTTGTGCTGCAGCGCGGGCGTGAGGCGCGCCAGCAGCGTGCGCGGCGCCGCCGCCCGGCTCTCGGCCAGCGCGACACGCGCGCGTACGGTACGTACGGTACGGGGTAAGGCGGTGCACTCACGTGTGCAGCAGCGCGCCGATGCAGCGCAGCGCCTCCTCGCGCGTGTGCGCCGCCTTGTGCTGCAGCGCGGGCGTGAGGCGCGCCAGCAGCGTGCGCGGCGCCGCCGCCCGGCTCTCGGCCAGCGCGACACGCGCGCGTACGGTACGTACGGTACGGGGTAAGGCGGTGCACTCACGTGTGCAGCAGCGCGCCGATGCAGCGCAGCGCCTCCTCGCGCGTGTGCGCCGCCTTGTGCTGCAGCGCGGGCGTGAGGCGCGCCAGCAGCGTGCGCGGCGCCGCCGCCCGGCTCTCGGCCAGCGCGACACGCGCGCGTACGGTACGTACGGTACGGGGTAAGGCGGTGCACTCACGTGTGCAGCAGCGCGCCGATGCAGCGCAGCGCCTCCTCGCGCGTGTGCGCCGCCTTGTGCTGCAGCGCGGGCGTGAGGCGCGCCAGCAGCGTGCGCGGCGCCGCCGCCCGGCTCTCGGCCAGCGCGACACGCGCGCGTACGGTACGTACGGTACGGGGTAAGGCGGTGCACTCACGTGTGCAGCAGCGCGCCGATGCAGCGCAGCGCCTCCTCGCGCGTGTGCGCCGCCTTGTGCTGCAGCGCGGGCGTGAGGCGCGCCAGCAGCGTGCGCGGCGCCGCCGCCCGGCTCTCGCCCAGCGCGACACGCGCGCGTACGGTACGTACGGTACGGGGTAAGGCGGTGCACTCACGTGTGCAGCAGCGCGCCGATGCAGCGCAGCGCCTCCTCGCGCGTGTGCGCCGCCTTGTGCTGCAGCGCGGGCGTGAGGCGCGCCAGCAGCGTGCGCGGCGCCGCCGCCCGGCTCTCGGCCAGCGCGACACGCGCGCGTACGGTACGTACGGTACGGGGTAAGGCGGTGCACTCACGTGTGCAGCAGCGCGCCGATGCAGCGCAGCGCCTCCTCGCGCGTGTGCGCCGCCTTGTGCTGCAGCGCGGGCGTGAGGCGCGCCAGCAGCGTGCGCGGCGCCGCCGCCCGGCTCTCGGCCAGCGCGACACGCGCGCGTACGGTACGTACGGTACGGGGTAAGGCGGTGCACTCACGTGTGCAGCAGCGCGCCGATGCAGCGCAGCGCCTCCTCGCGCGTGTGCGCCGCCTTGTGCTGCAGCGCGGGCGTGAGGCGCGCCAGCAGCGTGCGCGGCGCCGCCGCCCGGCTCTCGGCCAGCGCGACACGCGCGCGTACGGTACGTACGGTACGGGGTAAGGCGGTGCACTCACGTGTGCAGCAGCGCGCCGATGCAGCGCAGCGCCTCCTCGCGCGTGTGCGCCGCCTTGTGCTGCAGCGCGGGCGTGAGGCGCGCCAGCAGCGTGCGCGGCGCCGCCGCCCGGCTCTCGGCCAGCGCGACACGCGCGCGTACGGTACGTACGGTACGGGGTAAGGCGGTGCACTCACGTGTGCAGCAGCGCGCCGATGCAGCGCAGCGCCTCCTCGCGCGTGTGCGCCGCCTTGTGCTGCAGCGCGGGCGTGAGGCGCGCCAGCAGCGTGCGCGGCGCCGCCGCCCGGCTCTCGGCCAGCGCGACACGCGCGCGTACGGTACGTACGGTACGGGGTAAGGCGGTGCACTCACGTGTGCAGCAGCGCGCCGATGCAGCGCAGCGCCTCCTCGCGCGTGTGCGCCGCCTTGTGCTGCAGCGCGGGCGTGAGGCGCGCCAGCAGCGTGCGCGGCGCCGCCGCCCGGCTCTCGGCCAGCGCGACACGCGCGCGTACGGTACGTACGGTACGGGGTAAGGCGGTGCACTCACGTGTGCAGCAGCGCGCCGATGCAGCGCAGCGCCTCCTCGCGCGTGTGCGCCGCCTTGTGCTGCAGCGCGGGCGTGAGGCGCGCCAGCAGCGTGCGCGGCGCCGCCGCCCGGCTCTCGGCCAGCGCGACACGCGCGCGTACGGTACGTACGGTACGGGGTAAGGCGGTGCACTCACGTGTGCAGCAGCGCGCCGATGCAGCGCAGCGCCTCCTCGCGCGTGTGCGCCGCCTTGTGCTGCAGCGCGGGCGTGAGGCGCGCCAGCAGCGTGCGCGGCGCCGCCGCCCGGCTCTCGCCCAGCGCCGACACGCACGTGCGAGCCGCCGCGCGCACGCACTCCTTCGTGTCCGCTAGCCTACAATAACACAACCTATTTTTAGAAACAATTTTTTTTTAACGAGAATGAGATATTATATCTAATTAAATCGCAACTTTTCAATGATGATTATACTGTGTGACCGTCTGCGTAACAAATAAGTTCAAATTAGTCCAAATAGCGACATCTGGTGAACGTAACAGAAACAGAAACTGTTTATTCAATGTAGATTACTACCAGTTACTAATACAAGGGCGACACAAAGTTTTTAGAACTGGCCACTTGTAAACGATATAATAAAAAATAATTTGAAATTTTGAAAATGGAACTCTTTGTCAATATTATTGTGTACACATATGTATTTTATTAATTTCTCATTTTGTTTACGATTTGGCGGCAAATTGAAAATTGTCTGCGCACTAATCTCACCGATGATCTGCCTGAAGGACGGTCTTCTACGGCGACGATTGAAGATAACTTCAGTGTTGTGCGGCGTATGATAGAGACTGACAAAAGAGTGACTTATCAGCAGATTCGGACAAGCTTAGGGATCGGTATGAGTCAAGTGCACAAAATCCTCCATGAACATATAGCGGTCAGAAAGCTTTGTGCCCAGTGGATACCTCATAATTTGACAGAGGCCCAAAAACTCCGTCGTGTTGATTGATGTCGTGAAATGGTACGGTGTAGTAGATATCCTTACACTTACCTTGTCTATTAATTGCTTAATAGACATAATTATATTATAAGTACTTTCAATTTAACTTTGATTTTTTATAAGATAAGGAAGACAAACGAGCACACAATCCACCATAGTTAGTAGTTGCTGTGGCTCATAGACATTTACATCCATCCTCAACTACGAATCAAAATGCAGATCCGTTGTCACCAGTGAGGACTAAGATAAAATGCCTCGTTTCCAGTAAAAAGGTCTCCGGTTCTCTACACTCACCATACGAAACGCGGCAGCGTTAAGTTGCTATTTTACGCTGGTATTCTGTGAGAGCATGTTCCTTCCCCGGTCGAGCCGACCCATTTGTGCTACAACTATACTACGCATATAGCTGCTGCTTGGCTCTGCCATGCATAGTATAGCTGCAGCATGGCTCTACCACGTAGGTATAACAGTAATTAGTATTTAATTTGTTTTAGCTAGTTATTTTAACACTAGTGACCCGATTTTTATCAATTCTTCTATTGAATAAAATAATACTCTAGGTATTTTCTGCTAACATATAGCCTAAGGCACTCTTGGCATAAATGTATAGATGTATAGATTCAATGTGTATTCATATATAAGAAACTTGTTTTTCAATTACACAATATATATTGGAGCACACATTAAGTATTTAAACATATCATTTTAATTGCAAAGAAGTGAAGGATAGAAACGTTATTGACATAGTTTATGCATATAGGTCTCCTACGTTCCTTCATAATTATAATTTCCATTTTAGTAAGGGTAAATTTAAATTGCATAAAAATTATGCCTATTCTCGACTACGGTATCTATTTTGTTGTGCTATGTATTTCTTAATAGGTAAACATGAGCGTGCCTAATGGCGCCGGCCTTCACATTATGGCAGAGCTTTGAAATGGCAAGGTATAACACTGCACAGACTTTGTAAAGGGAGAAAACGATATTTATCACAATACCAAGTAGCTCCTACTAATGACAGATTGCTATGACAATAAAAAAGGTGATAAATTAGGAACCACATAATTTAAGTCCTTTCTCTGCCTACCGCCGTCGGACAAGCCTTTGTTGTCGACATACAGCGAATTCGAATTTAAAACCAACCGGTTTGCTTCGTCATCCATATTGCATATATAGAGCGGACTAATTTGAGACGTGCTGTCTCTCCATCCGATTAAGGTTAAGAAGAAAAAACAGACTTCTATAATAATCCCAGAAATGTTCTGATCGTAATAACACTGTATGATTTAAGGTATGAATGATTGGCTTTTGTTAAGTTCGTACGCCTAACAATTTTCGGCTTCATCACCGCTTACCCTCAGGTGTGATAGTAAAGCAGTATAAGTAGTATAAATCATAGTGTTAACAAATAGTGTGCGCAGGACGCAGGTGTTGCATGAATAAATTCTTCCTTTTTTATAGGATATGGGTGACAAACGAGCACACAGTCCACCTGATGGTAAGGGGTTGGTGTGGGCCATAAACATCTACATGTTTCTTCCGATTACGAATCAAAATGCAGATGCGTTGTCACCCGTGAGGACTAAGATGGAATGCCCCGTTTCCAATAAAAGGGTCTCCGGTTCTCTACACTCACCGTACGAAACACAGCAGCGTTAAGCTGCTATTTTACGCTGGTATTCTGTGAGAGCGTGGTCCTTCCCCGGTCGAGATAACCCATTCGTGCTACAACCATAATATAGCTGCAAAAGAAATCACGCACCAGAATTTTGAACCAAACGGTTTGCTTCGTTGTTTATAATGCGTACAGCAAATGAGTGGAAATATTTGACCGAATCTCTTTTTTTCTTTTCATTCAATTTTCTCTATATCAAGGATTGTGACGTAATCGCTACCCTTGGCAAATTTATTCTTACCATATAGGTAACTACTAAGCACCTTTTTACATTCATTAATTACATCTTATCAAAATTTCACTGCTAAACATAGGGTTCCCCATGGATTGCCCTCTAGAAATATTTCCAATATTTGCCATGATTGAAGGCGGTTTGGCACCCGCAGTATATTTATTTATTACTAGCTGTTCCCTGCGACTTCATCCGCCTGTTATTTGGGTGTTTTTTTTTTTTGGGACCCTAATTATTTTTCTAAAATAAAAGTTGTCTAAGTTACTCCTTGTGACATCAGCTATATGCCAGTGAAAATCCCGTCAAAATCGGTCCAACCGTTTCGGAGATTAACCGGAACAAACAGACAGACAGACAGACAAAACTTTAAAAATTGTATTTTTGTTATTAGTACCGTATATACTTTCATATGCATTTAGTAAAAAACCGACGAAGTGCGAGTCGGACTCTCGCACCGAGGGTTCCGAACAAATCCGTAGGTATATAAGTTTAAAATAATTAAAATTATTTTTATTATATGATTTAACTAACAAATTTATGTTTTTCGCAATTTTTCCTTTATCTGTGCTATAATACGTTGCTTCGTACCAAATTTTAAGATTCTGAGTTCACGGGAAGTACCCTGTAGGTTTTGATTCCCTTGCGAATGTCGAAAATTTGCGGCATAAACGGCTGTATCTTTTGATTGCGTTGGCTTAGAAGTTTGATTTTTTCACAGCTCCAAGAGACAGCAGACTTGAGTATTTGATATGAATTTCAGCTTGATACCTCCACGCGTTCAAAAAAAGGGTCTTGACAGACAGATAGACGGACAACAAAGTGATCCTATAAGGGTTCCGTTTTTTCCTTTTGAGGTACGGAAACCTAAAAAGCTGTAATTTTGACATTACAAACAGACACTTCAAATTTATTTATTTGTATATATATATATATATGTTTCTGATCACATCCTCTTTCATTTCCAACGTAACTGTAACACCCACGGGTATCATTCCGTGCGATGATTTCTGTGGGCGACCAATGGGGTAGTGGACTTTCTTAAGCCGCCACTAACACGGTGAGCTAAGCACCTAATACAAGTAAAACACATCTCTAATTAAATCGCTGCAAGTACTGTTTAACCGATTGGTAAGTACTCCTGACGTACGCAATGTATTGTCTCGAGCAGGCGCTTGATTTGTCAATGTTACTCATCCAGCTAATTATGTAGGCAGTTATGCTAGGGTGCGCCGAATCAGCTTCCTGTCCTACATCGAATAGGATGCTTATCGAGATAGAACAATTGTTTACAGTTTTTAATACGTAATAATTTACACAGTCGTCTTTATGTATCTTCATATTATTATCTGAAATAATTGTCAAGTAGGAATTTATGTAATTTTAAAATGTCTGTCAAGTTTTGGACACATAAGGTTTTTTTTAAGCAAAGGGATATGTCTAGACGCGTAAGACAGCGCTTGGTATCACCAATCTGAGGAAAAAATTAGGGATTTTTATAAAGCAACTAGCGGTCCGCCCTGGCTGCGCACGCGTGATTTTTGGATCTCGAAATAGCGCCACCTACCGGGTCCCACTTAAACCCACAAAAAATTTCATCTATAAAGCGGTCCCGCCATTTTCGAGTTTTTGCGAGTATAACGGACAGCATTTGATTTTTATATTTATAGAGATGTCAAGTAAGGGAAACATACATGGAGGATACAATGGAGGAATGTTCCCGGGCGGCATTCTGCAAGACAAGTAGTGTGTATTGTAGTGTAGCGTTATGTACAATAAAGTGATATCATCACCCTAGAGACAATATAAATGCATTTGCGGAGCTAGTATCTAAGATACATTTAAGTACTTAATTATATCCAACAATTTCCGACAGATGGCGGTATCAGGAACCTAATCATCTCGTTTACGCCAAACAAAAAATACACAGACCGGTGACGGGCAACATCGTCAAAGATGCGAAATTACTAAAACCGCAATCGACAAACCATAAATGCCAAATTTAGTGTTTATGGAAAATCCAGAGGTGAGAGGTAAGGAAAGAGGACTTGTACGGTCTTCTGACGAAGAAGAAGAAATCTAATTAAAAATAACCAATGTGCCCAGCAGTGTTAACTCTTGTCTCTTCTTAATAACTGGCTTTACGGCTCTGGGATCGAGCCCTTCTGAGCCTGAAGTTACAATATATTAAAATAATTATCGTTCATAGTATACTGCTTCACAATATGTTGATGCGTCACATTGTGCAGCTCTTAGGAAATTTTGATGGCAACTTGTGTTGAAGCGCCTGTCAAATTATATTAGCAGTTCTCATGCCAATATTAGTCCGTAAGCTGTGTAGGTATGTTTAAAAAATGTTGTACCTGTCGTCGTTGTAAAATTTAGAGATCAAGTAAAGGTCGATTGAGCAAATTACTGCATTTTACTATTAAAAAGAGATCAAATTCCTATTCATGGTCCTAAATCGAAGCCGGATT